GTTACTAAGCAACATTGCTCATGGTAAAAATGACCCCTGACTGTTAAACCACATCTGGACTGGGAAGAATCATAAATGTAGGGTAAATGCCTCTTCGGGACACTATCATTTTGGACTTCTCTGAATATTATGACTACTAACAGCTCAAGACACCTGGCTTCTGTGCTCATGCGGCTTTTAAGCCAGAGTGATTTGTGCACTTGGCCCATTTAAGCGTTGTTCCTTCAATCTTGGAAGTCCTTAAGTTTGGTGCCTTCCAATCCTTTCTTTCCACCTAGCCAAACCAGGTGGTCTGAGTTCACTGAGTTCCACTTTCAAACAGTCTCCTAGAGAATTTACCAACGCCAGCCCAGACCCCTCGACACCCAAGCTGGTTTTCCAGGTTCTGGACAGAGGTACAGCAATAACCCAGATGATTCCTAAACACAAGTGATTATCGCTCCCTGAAAGCCACAGACACCCATGCCCTCCCCAACCTGGGATCAGAGCCCCAGGAGTAGCCACGGGAGGCCTGACTCCATCATGGAGGTGATTCTTGCAGAAGGTGACCCTGCACGGGCCACACAGAACATGACTGTAATCCTGCACGGAGCTTAACAGATGTGCTCTCCCATTAACACTCAGGCTGGCGGACTAGGATGAGTCATCCTTCCCAGCCTTCCTTTTACACTAAGTAAAAATCTAGGAGTAGAAATCAATGCAAATGATGTCACTTCTTGGATGTCCTCCCTCAGCCTTCCTAGTTATGTCATCTTTTTCCTCGCAACCCCAAGCACCTCTGTTATAGGATACACAACCTCCACTCCTCTGGAAGCCATGAGCCCCTGGGAAGCAGTGTCAGTCACTACGACCAGCCTGTTAGGCTTTGGATCAAAGCCTCGTGTGTTTGGAGAGGGACTGGATTATGGGGGTGCTGCAGGTGACTTGCTGTTGGGAGGTGGGAGGTCTGATCAGAAGAGGCGGATCACTGAGGGTGTGACCTGGAAGGATTTATCTTTCTTCCTGGCTCCTCCTTTGACCTCTCTGCTTCCTGGACGCCATGAGGCGAGCAGCTCTCCTCTGCTATGTTGTCCCGCATTGGAGCTGTCTGATCATGAAACATAAGCCAGTGACCCAGTGATGAGGAAAGTAACTAAGACACGGTCCAATGCTACGCCCATCAGAGTGCTCCACAAATGGTCACAAAGTGAAAGAAACAACATGATCTGGGGCACTCCAATCACATTATTTCTCCATAGCTTAGACCACTGGATTAATTCCATGTAGTCCAACTGTAACTTTGGCCAACTTTTCCAAGGTTCCAGCTCCTAGTCCCTAATTCAGATAAATAACTTGTTTCAACAACCACAAAGTGGCACGTTCAATCAACGGCCTCAATGTTGCTCGGATCTGACAAAGTGAGGCAGGCTGTACATCTGTCTCCAGCCATATCTGGTTCTTCTTTTCCACCCACGACAGGCAGGACAAAGAGCCAAGAGTGACAGAGAGCACAAAGACTTGAGGATGGAACACCCCAGAAAGCACAGGGGCCTTCCCATTAGACAGAGCTTCTAGCCACTGCAAGCTGAAGAAACCCTCATATGCCTCAGCAATTTAGCGGCAGAAGATGTCAGACCCACAGAGCAGAAACAGGGGCTGCAGAAGTTACGGGTCTTGAGAGCAGAGGGCTTGGTCTCAAATCCAGTGCTTTTTGACTGTGCCATGCCCACCGGTGGTCTGTCACAGCAATGTGCCAGTGGAAAAGGCCAGTTTTTACCAAATGGTCTTGCTATCTCAGCATCTTAAAAGAATTTGCCTCATTTCAAACTGTGAGAGTATTTTTGCCCAAGAAAGTGACAAAGGAAGGTATCAGGTATATAGGGAAATTAGTCCTTTCATACATTGTTGACGGGAATATAAGAAGTGACAAGATTTGGGGAGCAAAATTTGGAAGTATTAAAACAACTGTAATATGTGCATAAGCTTTAGCAGAGCACTTCCACAAAACCGACTGTACATGTGTAAAAAAACCCAAGAATTCTCATCTAAGTACTGTTTACAATAACAAGAATCTCTAAGCAACCTAGATGTAAGTGGTTAAACAGATTAAGGAAAATCTATACAATGGAGCATCACACCAGTATTGCAACAATAGTAAATTATATGTACAAGCTAAAGAGGCTGCCCACGATTTGGTGATTTTAGTAATACGATTTGAAAAGTCATATCGATATTTTAGTATGTGTATATTTATGGAATCTTGAAGAACTAAGCAATAAATTATGCATAAAGCCCCTTAGAAGAGTACCTCACAGTGAACACTAGGAGAAATTTATCTATCAAGATGTGATAGCATGTCCGTGAAAAAAATATAGGTGAACATAAGTGGTAAATTGTAAAAAAATATATATATAATATACATATTAAATATATATAATATATATATATGAGAATATAGGTGTCTATTTGTAGAAGTTGGGTTTATGTAGGGTTCTTTTGGGTTTTCTGTTTATTTTTTGAGGTTTTTTTCTTTGTTTTTTGTTCGTTTTTCATACAGGGTCTCACCATGTTAGTCCAGGCTGGCCTTGAACTTCCTGAGTAGTCTAGGCTGGCTTGAACTTGCTATCCTCCTGCCTCAGACTCCTAAGCACTAGGATTACAGACATGTGCCACGACTCCTGGCTTGGCTCTTTCCCTTTTAATACATTTCTATGCCATTGGAATATTTTTAGCTGGGAATATAATGTCTCACTTTCACTCACTTTCTCATCTCAGTTGATTGTTTGTGTCACCAGAATTAATCTAGTGATGACAGCAAGTGGATCTGAAGTCTAAACAGCTCTACAGGTTTTGGAAAGTCACCTGTTACAAGTTTTTATTCTTCTTAATACTCTTTAAAAATTGGGACTCGGTGTTAAAATATTTTTGCCATTCATTGATTGAATAACAAGTTTCCCATTTAACTTAACGATAAGATTCAATCAATTCCAGAGTGCAAAGAGTTTGGGACCGTGGGACCCAAGGTGAAGTCCAGGAACTACATGTTGTAAGAGGGAGCCACCTTGAGGCCAGCATGTGAAGTGAAATAATCCAGTCCCAAAGAGACAAAGACTGTGTATGACCTTGCTTATCTGAGGCATCCATCTAGCATGGTCAAAGTCCCTGAAACAGGAAGTGTCTGCTACAGGCTGGGGACAGGGGTGGGGAGAGATGGCTGAAGGGCACAGAGTTTCAGTTTTGCAGGATGAAAAAGTTCCGGACACTGGCTGCACAAGGAGGTAAATGAACTGAGCATTATTAAACTGCACACTCAAAAATGGGTAAGAGGATTAATCTTATTCTCTGTATATTTTACCACATTTCCTTTTTCAGTAGAGGGGACTGAACTCAGCGCCTTTGCTCTGAACTACATCCGCCCCAGTCCTTTTTAGAGTTGTTTATTTTGAGTCAGAGTCTCCTCGAGTTGCTCGGAAGAAATGCCAGTTTCCTTTATCACTGCAAGTCTGGACAGGAGCACACAATACTTTTGCAGGTATTATCTCACCAAGTCCTTGGAACGGATTTCTCAGGGCACAGGACAGAGCCTGGGTTCAAATCCTGGAAACAAACCTGGATATGAATTCCAACACTTGATTCCCAGTGAGAACGAGTTACTTCATCTCAGTTAGCCTCAGGGTGTCCACTGGTAACTCTGGTTTCCTGGTATTCGCTTCACAGAATGGTTGTGAAGATCAGGTAAGATATCACAAATAAGGTTGGCCTTGTTCTCTGGCTGCCCAGCAGCTCGATGGGAACCCATCCAGGTGGATGAGTGGCCGCCCCTGCCCTGGGGGCAGCTCCTGGCCCATGGCCTGAGCAGTCCTGCATCTGGGCCCTGGACACCGGATGCTCCCACACCTGCTCGTCCACTAGGAACACTTTATTTTCTCCATGTTGTGGATGTTGGTCTGACATCCATCCATCCAATATTTTTATGATAGCTTCTCCCCGAGATCGTGGGACAAAGCTAGACCAGCCCCCAGGGGATAGGCCCGGCACAGCTTAGTCCTGACACCTCCCCAGCTGTCCCCCCAAGTGTTGTGGACCTGCACATCTCCGGCCAGCACTCAATGGCCAAGGTTCCTACCTCTTGTTTTCCAAAGCAAGCCAAACATGAAGCTTGGTTCTGGGACAAAAATGCTGGGCTCCCAATGTAACTCCGCCTCTATCCAGCCCTACCTAAGCTTTCTTCACTTTCTTCACTTTCGTTTCATCCTTTGCAAAATAGGGATAAATGAGGCACATAGCAGTACTGAAAAAAAAATTAGCCTTTACTCATTGATGTAAAGAAAAACATGGCAAAAGTTGCACCATCACAAACAAAAGCTCCTTGTGTGTAGCCACAGTCTTACTTAGCCAGCCCATGGTCCTGGCTTTTTCAAAGGGTGAAAACTCTTATCTCTTATTTCCGAGGGGGCATGTTCTAAGAAGTTTGCATTTCTGGAAAAATGCCAATTGCAAAACACATATTCTATTAAAATTTATTCCCCAATTCCAAACACTGTATTGTTTCTGTCTGTAGGCAGGTGACTTATTGGTCCCCACTCAAACAAGTATTCTTTTTTACTCTTTTTGCAAGCCCTGGGTTAATCCCTGGGATTGCAAAAAGGCTCTGGGCCTTTGCACTGAGCTACATCCCCAACTCCTTTCAAATTTTGAGACCAGGTCTCACTAAATTGTCCAGGCTGGGCTTGAACTTGTGGTTCTCCTGCCTCAGACTTGCAAGTGCTGTGGTTATAGGCATGTGCTTCCATGCTCAGCTACAAATAGTTATTCTTGCTGGCAACTGTGAACATCATATTTCCTCCACTTTATTAATGCTTTTAATAGCAGAGTTCTGCCAGTCAAGCATATCCTTGTGAACCATTTGCACCTTTCTATTTGAAAACTTGGCCCTGACCCCTACCAAATTCACCCAAAGGAATGAGACAGCTCAGCTCTAAAGAGACCTGGTGTAAAGGATCCCCAAGAAGATGACTCACCTTTTTCGTGGCTACTTGGTGCTGGGGGTGGGGGTGGTGAGGTGACTGGCTTGGACTTGTCATAGTTGTTAAAGCTCTGGCTGCGCCGGTTGTTAGCAGTGGCTGACCCTCCACGTGTTTTGGCCTCGCTGCCTGCAGTGGATACCCTTACGGTAGGACCTGGAAGTCTAAAATGCAGAAGTATTTAGGATAAAGCATTCAAGAAAAGAGCAGCATATCAGAAAAAGTAATGGCAACCATGTAGGAGGTTAAAAAAGAAAAGACAAAAACCATCCCAGATATTGGGTCTATGGGGCTTTGCCAGTCAAAGGGTTTGATGGAAACACTATGAACACCTAGGCTAGTAATAACTCCAGCAAAGTCCAAAAGTAAAATGTGCCTAGCATTCCTTTGAGCAAAGATGGAAATTTTGAAGGAAAAAATACATGAATTAAAAATACAAAGTTTATTTTCCTTTTTCTTGGGGATATTTTTATTTTTTAGTAAGCAATGTCATCTCTAATTCCATCAAGTGTGGAATATAAAAGTTTAACCTTCATCTGTTTACCCTAAGTACATGTTTTCTGGAAGGTGTAATCCAGGTATGTGTGGATCAAGAAAAGAACACATTTCATAATGGTGAGAAAGGGAACTGCTACCATGCAGAACTCAACACATCTGCAAGGAAAACTTAAGGCTGAGCTGCAAACACTTGTCCAGACATAATTTTCTTTCTACACCTGACAACCTGTCTCCCTGGCATTGCTTTGAGGCTGAAGCCCATATTTTCAGCACAATCAATGGATAAAGTCATAATTCTTTCTGTAAAATCAGCAGGATTCAGTTACCCTAAAGACCAACATACACTTTGCCTTTAAATAAAACACCTCATTTTGAGTGGTTTGAAAATAAAGTCACTAGACTTTCTTGTTATACCTCTGAAGATATTATGGCTTATTCACCCAAAGAGTTAAGGGTAAGACTTCCCAAATCACAAGTTTTGCCCAGGGACTTACTAAGCAGGTTGTTTCCAATAATAAAGGTTGAAAGATGAATAAATGGTGAAATATTTAGTTATATATTTTGGTAAAACTCACTGAGCTGTGTTTAAAAGCAACTGGAACCTCAGGGGACTAGCACTATATCCAATGATAAGTCTGAATTTTCAACTCACAAAGCTTTCAGCCTTCTCTTTCCATGTAAGTCTCAAGCGCCAAAGAAGCCTGCAGTCTGGAACCATTTTAGATAGAAGCAGGCAATCACTTTAAATTTTTTGTTGTTGGCTGAGCAAGAAAGATGGTTGCAAAGTAAACAGAGAACATGAGCTGGTGTGAGAAGAACTGTAAAATTTATCCAGTTAAGAAGAAGCTGGCCCAGTGCCCTGACAGGGAGCTGGGAGAGATGGATGTGGTTCGCTCTTCCCCTGAAAATGGCAGTGAGGTCTTCAAGACATCATTTCCTGGGACAGTAGGATTTGGGCCTCTCTGAATTGGCCTTGTCTTGTTTGGGAAGGATATTCACTCCACAGCGATAGGCACAGAACTGGGTACAGAAACCACCAGGGCCAGTGCCTGTGTGTGGGCCCAGATGTGTCTAGCACAGCTGGTCAGGGAGATCCAGTAACGTGGTCTTAGTACATCCTGGTTCTGCTTCTGATGTAAAGAGTGTCCTATAGTGTCCTACAGGTCGGGGTTGTCTGAGTGCCACTGCCAACAGAAAAGCCTCTGCAGATGCAGGCATGGAGCTCTGTGGTCTGAACTCATTTAACCGGGTCATAATCTGCAGGATTCATTATGCCCACAGACAGGCCTTGGAAGAGATTAGGGACCTGTTCTCAGATGATGTCACAGCAATGGTATTAAAGGATACAGGGTAACATAGGGCACAGCATTCTGCTTCAATGGGGGAGTTTGCAAATATCAGGGAAATAAAAAGCAATGAGGAGGAAAAGGTGCATTCCTTTCAGAGTTGCTGGAGAGTCTCCATCGTGCTGGGTCTAGACTGGGTGACAGCAGATTGTTAGAACAATGCAGAGACTCTCTAAAGGTGAGACAGCCAAGCACCAGCCAGGGAGGAGCCAGCCTGAATCAGATAGGGAGTCTGGTTCTCCGAGAGGCAGTGTGGCATAGTGCATTGAACATAGGCTTTTCCATCCACACGACTTTGGACCAATGTCAAGACCTGTCTGAGAGTCACGCTCCTAAACTGTAACTTTGGAATAATCATAAAACACCTAGCGAAGTGGTTGTAAATTTGAAATGGGATTTAATATCTGGCCTGTTGTAAGTACTGGACTCATGTTATTTACCCTTGTCATCCTCTCTGCTGAGCACAAATTCATAAAGAAGTTGGACACTGTAAAGGAAACATGCTGTGGTGCTAGATAGAATTAGATGAGGAAGGAAATAATGGGTCTGACTTAAAGCATTAGAGAAAAGGCAGACAAAAATCAACACCGGAGATCAACATTTTCAAAGAGGCAGGGCAAGCTTTATCAAGCAGGACTTCACTCAGCTAAGAACATCCCACAGGAGAAACTACATCATCAGTAACTAAGCCCTTATATGTAAGGAATTTTTGAGTTATCTATGGGCCTCTCTCTCTTTTTCTCTCTCTGGAGTAAAATAGGCTTGGTTTGGGATTAATGAAGATAATTCTGGACTTCCCATGGTGGGCATGGTCAGCCCTCTTCAGTGAGTGAGGGACTTAAGTGCTCCTTCGCCGGGGCAGCACATCCTCCCAATGGTTGTGCCATGTGTTCTATGACATAAATAAGGAATTCCTGAGGGTCTTGAAGATAGCTGGTGAGTGGGAAACTGGAAACACAGCCATCAAAAGCCAGCGAAAACCTCAAGCCAGCTCATGTTGCTCACCACCATTGCTACCATACCTAAGTCGGGACAGCTCCATTCATCAGATCCAAGAGAAAACTTCCTGGAAACCAAGCAATTTCCTGGATATTTCACAGAGAACTGATGCTGATGTGGTAGTGTAACCTTGCATTCTGCTGTGAATGGGCTTGGACTATCATTTGTCCATAGTGAAGCTCCCTCCATCCATCAGAAATGTTTAAAAATCCCACCTCACATGCCAAAGTCATCAATGAATGTATGGTGGTTAGGGAATAAGAACTCACCCAGGAAAGAACAAAAATACCCCTGGGAATAGTGATAAGGATTTAGGATTTCAAAGTCAAAGGCAAACATGAAAACTTAAGGTACCTGAGCAATCATGGGGTGGGGGGAGGGTGTCACTGGACTTTCTGCAGGCTGAGGAGGTTGACCTAGTATGTTGTCTTGTCTAGACCTTAAATTTTTGGTTGACCCCAGCTGATATCCTGCTTACCGTGCAATGATAAAATATTCTAAGTTCAGAAGTCATTCAGAGAACTCAAGGTTCTTGAAGGTTGGTGCAATGTTCAGGGAAGATCCAAATAAAGGATTCCAGGCCAAGATTTGTCATATTGAATAGGACTGCAAGGACTAGAAGGCAAAGTTCAGAATGTGCCACACACAAAGAAAGTCTGCCAAAAGTAGAGAGGAAAGAGTTGACATGTGCTGACACTTGGACAGAGTAGAAGGCAATGAAGCTGGAGAAGCAATCAGGGCCAGAGAAGGGAAGACCTTGGACTTTGTCCTACCCTCTAGGGATGAGGCATTAATTAAGGAGAGAAGAGCTGGAGTTAAAAGTAGAGTACCTTCTAGTTTATCACTAACACAGAGCCTGGGCCTCTGGCAAAAGGTTTTGCAGTTCATTAATGGTAACATCCTTGTGTATCATGGAAACTTGTACTACGGTCCCCCAGCCTGGAGGCATGTGGTGTCAGTAGCATTACAGTCCTGCTTGCTGAGGAGCTGAGTCTTGCCCACGTGGAACAGCTGCAGGTGCCACAACAGATGTTGTCCCTGGTGCCTGCCTTGCTGAGGCCCGGCAGTAAGAAGAGAACCAGGCAGGTCAGCCCCATGCCATTTACAGCACCAGGAGCTCCCAACAACTCCTCTCCAAGAGGGACTTGACCTCTCAGATTCATTCCATGTCTAAACAGTTTTAAAATGATAAGACAGGTTCTCTGAAGCATACACATGTTGCTTTTTTCCTTTTTTAAATTAAGCAAAGTGGTGTAAGGCAAAAGCAGGAGAAAAATCCTGCTGCTATTAGAGCCATGGTCAATTTCTCCAACGTGTGCAGAGTTGAGCGGGCAGGGCAGGAAAGCTGTCATTTCTGGCACATAACCTCCGAACGTATCCCTGCTCCATGCACTGTACGTGCTGATGGGAAGAAAGCAGTTCTTCTTCCCCAAACCACTTCAAAGGCTGGGAGCAGAGGGGCGGCCCTCCTGCCCCTCCCAGGAAGGATAGCAGCTTGTGAGCACATGGGTATGTCCATAATCAGAGATGCTTTTTGAAAGAAAGATGATTAAATGCTAGATCTCTCATTTCCATGACATCTGCTTTTCAGCAACTAGGCAGACAGGACTCAGCCTAACTCCACTGATTCCATTCCACAAGATAGTTGTGTAGGGATCACATCTGTGAAACTTTTGAGAGACAGCCTGGCTGCCTTACCTGGTCCAGATCAACCCAAATTAACACCACCATCATGTATCTGCTATTTATAGTGCACTGATTATATGCAGGCTTTATGGAATTGGAATGACTTGATTTAATCCTCATGACATTGGGAGTGAAGTGGGACTTACCCTGCTTCATCAATAAGGACACATAGGCTTATACAGAGGTTAAAGAAGGAGCCCAGGTGACGATACATCATGACTGCATCTCTTAGCCACTGTTGCTTTTTCTGCATCATGAAAGCAGAACAGCCCTTAGCAGAGAGCTCACCAGGGATGCCAGAGGGCAATAATGCAATCAAAGGTAGAAATCTATGGAGATCCATGAACCACTCCACACATCCCCATTCAAGGGATTCAAGGTGTTTGGAGTCCATCAAAGAGGCCTATTTCCAGAGCTCTTGGGAAAGGTGGCCTACTGTTAGAGTTTAGATCTGAAATGTTCCCCAAATGTCTCATGCGTTCAGAAGGGGGGCTCTTGAAAGGTGACTGGATCATGGGGGTGGTCACCTCATTGGAGGATGAATCCATTGATGAGTTAGTTCACAGCTGAATGTGCTGTTAGAAGGTAGGGACTGGTAGGTTGGGAGAAGTAGGTCACTGGGGGTGTGACCTGCAAGGATGTGTTCTTGTCTCCGATCACTTCCTTTCTCTGGCTCTCCTGCCCTCTCGGCTTCCTGGCTGCCATGAGGTGAACAACTTTCTTCCACCACACACTTCTACCGTGCTTCTGCTGTGGAGCCTGAAGACCATGGACTGAAACCTCTGAAATCCTGAGCCAAAATAATCCTCTGCTCTTTTCAGTTAACTTTCTCAGCTATTTTGATCACAGGGACAAAAAGCTGACCAGTGTATCTACTCAGCCAGAAGGGGTAAGGTTGTCTCTTTTGGCAAATTAAACTTTACTGCTACACTTAGTAGTGCTTAATCAGCTAAAGTTCTTATCAGGATTTTGCTCAAGGCTGTGGGGGAGTGTAAGAAGGGAGGGCAAAGAGGAGCATTAGGCAAATAATGAAACTCAGCAGAGATAAAACGCACCCTAGAGAAACTCTAATAAGGATGTGACCCTAAAGGGAAATGGAACTTGGCTTATGCTGAGCCTGGAAGCTCTGTGCCCAACACAGCCTTGGGGGGCGGGTCCTCATTTTCCAGGTCTTCCTCTCTTCCTGCATCCTCCAAACACACTGCCTCCCTCCATCATCTGGGACCGATAACAAACCATGCCTGGGATGGGCAAGTGCTTCCAATTAGATATTTTCCCAGCCAGCTCCTGTTTTTCTTTATCTTCCAGGGCCGAGCACATCGTGGGAACAGACACTTGATTTCACATTTCCCCCAGGCCTGTCCCTCCCTTCCTTTCATATGTATGTGCATTTGCATGACACTCAAATTAACTGGGAATAGTTTGCCAGAGCACCAGTGTCTGCTTCGACTTGGGCCTCCTGTTTTTCATCGGGGAAATCAGTTGCTCTCAGACATGGCTTCCAGAAGCAGTGACAAACTTAGGCCCCCTTGTATCGCCCCCCTCCACTCACCCAGGAACCAACTGTGGTGACATTTTACAGAGAGGGACCCAGCCGAGTAGTCTTTCTCTCACCAGCTAGGCAGATCCTGGCTTGGGTCTCCTCATGTACAAACTTTCCAGAAAAGTACACTCTGGCTAGAAAAGGCACCCGGTGCCTAGCAGACCTGGGAAGCCAGCAGATGCTCAGTGTAGATTTGTGTGTGGATGAAGACTTAAGCGAAGGGTGGGTTTCCTTTACTGAGACTAATGGCTGAAAGATAAGATTTTAAAGAGCACCTTCAACAACCACATAAATGGAAGAATTCAAGCAGAGGAAGGAGGGGTGGTGTCGTACAGGGGATAAACCCAGAGTTCTGGGGCTGGGCCACTTGGGTTCTAATCCAGATTCCCTCACTTTCTGTGTGACCTTGGGCAATTGCCTGACTTCCTAAACTTGGTTTCTTTATCTATAAAATAGGGAAAATAACAACCTATTTCATGAAGACTGATGTGAAGCTTAAATAAGATAATGCATTTGAACTGGTGTATTCAGTAAATGTTCAGTTCATACCTATAAAATAACAGATATAACAATGTGACCAGCTATTCCCATATGCCAAAATGCATCCTAGGATTGAGGCCATGCTGCAGCAGACAGGCTAAAGTCTAAATTGAGAGAACTAGTTAGTGAGCGAGCCTATTTTAAATTTTTTATTTAATTTTTTATTTTCAAGGAACTGAAGCAGTCTCTCCATGGTATGCAAGGGCATCCAGAAACAAAGATAAGACACGGATGCCTTGCTGCTTTGTATTCACACTTAAGATCACTATAACTCAAGGGACAACCAATCCCACATTAGTAATTTTAATAATAATGACAAAAACAAAACAACAAAACACACAAATAAGATGCAGGAAAGTTTGGATTAGGGCTAGGATGAAGCAGGGAGCAAACTTGTCTTCAAAGCACTATAAAAAACTACTTAGAAACTCACTTTTCCCTAAATCTCAGTGGATTCTGGTGACAAAGTAGTCAAAAGCAAAAAGCAATTCAATGAGAACATCACATACACCTCAACCTCACTTACATGCACACACACACACACTCAACAACCCCATGGCCGCTCAAAACTTCTCATCATTGTATCATCAGCCAAAGCATGTTTGGGTTTCTGGAACTGCAAACATGAACTAGGGAGAGGAAACTCAGCCAGAGCAGAAGGAGCAAAGAAACAGTGGGTTGGGTTTGAAACCATGCTTTGCAGTACACAGAGGAAGTCTAACCTAGAGATCTTTTTCTGACCCAGGGTGAAGCGGATGATTTTGCTTTGAGATGAGTCCTTGGGTGATACACTGCATGACAGGAGAGAAAAAAGTGGAACAGATGAGTGGGGAGAGAGAAGACATGTATCAGACACATGATGACATAATAGGAGGCTTACAACAATGGGAAAGCTCCTTTGTACCCACTGCCCACACTGTCCCATAAGACGCAGCCCTCTTCCTGGGCCCAGCTTTCCTGATTCGCTATTTCCAACATGAAGAAATGACAACCAAGATTATCTAAGAACTGTTACAATGTTGTTTTCCCCTTAAACACCAAATATCTTTTCTGCTTCCAGTCAGCTTCTTTATACTTTTCTGAAGTACTGAGATGTCTCAGGAATAAAGTGTTTGGAAGGTATAAAGTAAGACGTCATGGTATAAAGTTATATTTTATACCTTGCTGAAGGATCAAGATGTTTCTATTTCATAGGCTTGTCCTACTGGGATGCTTTCCAAGTGACTTCCCCAAATATCCCATAAAGTTGATTCCAAACAAGAGTATAGATATTTGGAAATTTTGCTGGTCTTGGGACTAGCTACTGTTAATGTTATAGAAATGACTACTTGAAGCCTGTTGAAAATTTCCTAAATTCTGGTGGGCTTGGGAAACCAGAAATTTATATATATACCGAATCTTGTTTGGGTTTGATCAAAGATTAATTTTAAATTATTTTACTGCCTTATGAAAGATAAAAATGTATATCGTTCTTGCATCATATATTTCAGGACTTGTTCTTAAAAGGATCTGAGGTGAGAACTCCAAGGTTGGCTTCACTATTCTTGGGAAGTGAAGAGAGAAATGAACAATGGACCAAAAAATGAAGCGCCTTCCTCGATTTTTCCTTCGTAAATGAATACTGAGGTACAGAGGTGGAGAGCGATGCATGCTCTGGAGAATGTGCTCCTCTTCTAGACTCTGCGTTGGTGAAGGATTTCCCGGGGAAGATGTGGGTCAAGTTCTTGGCTACTCTGTGCATTCTGAGAAGAGCTGAAGAGGCAGGTGAGTCTGCATATGGCTCTGAGTTCCTCTGATATCTTCATACCAGTGTCCTGGATTTCCTTTCTCATCTTCCACACCTCTTTCCTTAGCAAACTTCACAGAAAGTTTCTGAGTTTTAGTGTGTGCTACCCCACTGAACCTACATGGCTTCAAAACATTGTTTAGGCGTGCAGAGTTCTAACCTGGCATCTGGGCTTGCGTCAGCATTGACATTAATGATCGAGGGTCCAAACCATTACCCTTGGGGCTGTGGTTATCAGAGACAGACTTTGGGGCTGGGAATACAGTGGACCCAAATTAGTGATATAATTTCATGATTCCTAAATTTATAGTCAGACAGGAGCTATCATACCATTAGGCCTTAAGAACAAGATTATTCTTTGAAAGTAAGTTTAAAAAGTATCAGTATATAATTGATAACATCCCCACCTGCAGAAGTAACCCAGCCTCAGAGAGATAAAGCAGTGAATGAGGACATATACCCGCTCTAAACCCCAGTCCATGTCTCAACCCTCAGGGGCCAGAAAGTCATGAGAGCAGGAGCTACTTGGTAGCTGAAATAAAACTTTGGCTTAAATGAGCTTGGTTCTGCTTTAGCTAAAGCATTTATTAAGAGTGGGATGTTTTTTCTTAGGGGGATATGGGTGTGCTGACTGGAATGTCTGGTTCTTTTAAGAAAACAAACACTTCCCATGGAAACGGATGCTTCAGGGTAGTAGAGCTCTGATATAAGTCAGTGCTTCTGAGCACATGTTCCTTGGAACCCTACACTGTGAGATGTACAATGAGAACAGCACTGTGGCTGCGTTTGCACTCATACCCATGGCCCTGTACAGGTTTACCACGCACACTGGTTCCTCTCCCAGGCATTCTCATCTCAATAAATAACACCACCACTTGCCTAAAGCCTAGACTTTCTCTGGGATTCCTCCTTCGCTCACCCTGGAGAGTGAATCTGTTTGCAGGCCTCCTGGCTCAACCTCTGAATTACCCTGCCTGGGTCCATCTCCATAAATGTCCCCACCACCTTGATCCAAGTCCCTACCATCTCCTGGACTGCAAAAACCTCTTCTTTACTAGGGTCCTTCCTTCCATTCTTACTCTTCTACAATCTTATTCTCCAAAGAGACGCAAAGGGAACTTTTTATTCTCCAAAACTATAAATCCAGTCAAGTCTTTCTCCTACTTAAAGGTCCTGCGGTGATTTCCTGTCCTCCTCAGTCAGCTCTCTGGGGCCTCACCTCAGTGCCACAACAGTGCACCACTGTCTTCTGTGGGCATGGCAGCAGCACTCTTAGCTCCCAGGCTACTCTCTGTCTCCCCTCTTCCTTCACTGTCCAAGGCCTACCACAGAGCCTCGCACCAGCTGGTCTCTGCCAGTTCTCCACAACTGAGGTGTTAAGGGTTGGCTTGTTTTCAATATTAATTTCTCTCCACTTAGGTCTCCAGGAGACCTTCCCATCAACTCAATCTAAAACAGCACCCAGTGCCCCTCAGCTGTATCATCCTAGTATAACACCCACCGCCACCAGATACTTTTCCTCCTGTTTGTTTGTCAGCCTCCTCCAGTAGCATGTGGAGAACAGGCACCTTGGCTATCTTGTTCATCCTTGACTTCTAAGTGCCTAGCACAGTGCTGGGCACATAGAAGACTTTACCCTAACTAAATAAAAGAATATACATTGGCAATGTCAAGCCCCTGAGCAGGCCTAAGATAACAGTTATGACACCTTAATCCAGGTTATCTCCTCATTCTTCCTGTCCACCAAAGCCCTTCCCCTGCAGTATAACCCAAGTGAACCTCCAGGGAATATGCACACTGTAAAATGCAGGCTGGGAAATGATTGTCCCCATCATCCAGGGACATTGGGGAACCCGTGACCAGAACAGCTCCTACGCCAAGGGTGCAGTGCCTACTTGTCAATTCCTCACTGCTAGTCCAGACATTTCTCCAACCCCACACATTTCCATAATGTGAATTGGATATAATTAGATAATTAATTAGGGGGGCCGATTTACATTACACCCATCACTGTCAGGTTTAAAACCAGCACAATTGGGAAATAACACTTTGCATGGAAAAAAAAAAAGCTACAACAATCTATAAGACAGCTGCCGAACTTCAGCAGTTTTGGGTTTTGCCCAACTAAAACAGGTGATAAAGAGCATCAAGGTGTGCAAGAAACCTTGTGGTTATCCATGCTGGTGCTCTGGGGCACTGGAAAGAGAAGGCATTGCTTTTCAGCACACATTAGATGAAATCAAGCAATCAATTAGATCAGTGGCATTCACCTTTTATAGTTAAAGACTGCTTAACTGGAGATAATTATAAAGAGCTTCCCTTTAGAAATTTGCCAGGAGTTAAAAACTCTCCCATTCTCAATTCCCTCTTTTTTCTGCTATGAAAACAAATGATTTGCAGGACGATCTTTTGCAGAGTTAAGAGGACAGCTATCCCCCTGCGGCACAGCACAGGGTAACTACTGGACACTCTGCTTGCGTGTGGCTCCGTGGTGAGTTGAGTGGAAGCATTAGTCCCCTTGGGAGCACTGGCTAGATCCAGGTCCTGGTCTTAGGAAGCAGGTGTCACTCCCAAGGTGGAACTGTACCTCACTGAGATCAACCCCGTCCCACTGTCTAAGTTCAACAAAACCCAGTCACATTGCCAGCCACTGCTCCCATCAAGGGATGCTGCCTGGGGGAAGGGGCTGCTCCTGCCCTGCCTACACTCATGGCCTTCCCTTGCTCTGTTTCTTTCTGGCAAAGCGAGGCATCTGTTAGAATGGAATGTTTGCCTCCATGAAGTCAAATGACTCTCACGCTCTAACTCCAAGCATCTGGTTCGTACATCAACACAGAAAAGGGGTTTGAAGTTTCCTTTAGGTGCTGTTTATTACACACAGAGGGCATATAATAGGCCAGAGTAACGGTAGGGGCAGCTCTTTAGCTTTGGCTGCTGGCGATGCTGACCTATGAAAGTGCACATCTCTGCTGGGACAGGAAGGGCGCCGTCGCACCCAGTTCAAGGTCTTGCTGACCCTGTGTGAACCATGGCACTTTTCAACACTGGGGGAGCCTAGGCAACACAAGCTACCATGTGGTCATCGTGAAGAAAGATTCCTAGCAACAGAAGAGTCAGTTAGCACGAGCCCCACCTGGACTGCATTTCAGCTTGTGCTTTGGACGGCTGGAGTAGCGCTGGCTGGTGAGGCTGGCACAGGGCTTGGGCGGTGGCCGGCACCTGTTGCTGAGTGGTGCCAGCCTGGCACTGGGAGGGGGCCCCGGCCACAGGACACCCAGAAGGTGGCACGGGGGAGGAGAGGTGCTGCTTCTGGGGTTGCTGTTGCTGCTGCTTGTATCGAGAGAGGCTGAAGAAGAGGCCTAGGATGGCCTTGAGGTTTCCATTCCTGATTTCTGCAAGACAATAAAGAGACTCTGATAAGCCATGGAGCCTTCTTCCTCCAATCTAATGGGCTGGGGCTGCCACAGCCCTCGCAAGAGTTGACATCCTTCAGGATGTGACAGACTTCCTGAACACTCCATGGCATCACGGTCCGTGAAAAATCAGGCCTAAACCACAAAGCAATTAGCTTATCCTCCCGCCAGGATTAGTGTGGCTACACTGGGCAAGTTGCAACTGGATGTCTGGCGAGTGCCAGAGGAGGAAATTCTCCGCACGGACACCACTGAAACAACAAACTCCCCAGCAAGACCGAGCTTGTCTGCAGGCACAGGGAACGCTCTGGACCGAGGTGCGCTGGCCCTAGGGGAGATGCAATGTGCTGCTTGGCTCTGCCAAGTCCACGTTCTGCGCCTCATGCCACTCGCGTGTGCCAAGGAGCTGCCACCCCACACCCGAGCCTCATCTGCATTGCCCAGTCATCCTCCTCACCGGCACACGCCTCCCTCTCCCCTGCCCCTGAACTAAAGAGCTGTCATTCGGGGGGTGAGGGGAGAGGCCATCAGGACCTGCTTCCATAAAGCACTGCTACGAAATAGCTCCTATATTAAAATAAATCAGAACATGGTGGGAAGAAATCTCTTTTATTCCAGCCAGTACATTTCAGACATTAAAATGCATTTGCCCCAAGGCATGCATAAAGAGCTGTGAAGAAGAAAATATCTATTCCTAGGCAGAGGTGACGGGGGCACAAGGGGCTGCTCCTTGGGCCATCCTTTCTTTGACGAAGTACTTTTACACCAGATGCTGAAAGCCACAGTCTAACATGACCCCGAGGGTGAAGTACTAGGTCACCCACAGGGAGGACAGAGGAGGAGAGGTAGCTGGGAAACACACCCGGCCGCCTACTTTCCCGACACCTTGGGCTGGATCTCTCTCTCTGATCTGTCTACAGGGAACAGGGGCAGGGAGCTTCAGGGACCTTGCCGTGGGGGTGGGTACTGGCAGTCCTGCCTGGAGGGGGTGCACACTTTGGGCTCAGCTGGGAAGGCCACCGATGGTCCCAGGCAGTGCTTTCTTGAAGGGCCCGCTCCCTGCCAGGGACTCAGAGGTGCTGCACAGGCCAGGATAGATGACTTCCTGCTGAAGCTCCCCTTCCTGCAGGCTTGGAAGGAAGTGAGCATGCGCGCTTCTGGGATCTAGCCTTCACCTGCGCTTCAGGAGCCGGCAGGCTCTGACCCAGGATGAGAGCTGCTAGGGTCACAGTGGATGGAAAACCCAAGCCATGGGTTCCAATCTGCACCCTACCACTCTCCCTGTGCAGCCTCAGGCAAATCATTTCATCTCTCTGGGCCTCAGGAAGATGGCAATTCTGAGGCCGCCGGTCCCATCACACCAGCTGATTCTGCAGATCAAATGAGAGCTTGTATGTGAAAGCCCACTGCTCTTGGTTACTCTATGAAGACCACAGGCCCAGAATCCCGAATAAGATTGTCAGACACCTCCTGCTTCATGTGTTAAAAATGATGGCACTGGGGCCGGGGATTTAGCTCAGTGGTTTCGCCGCCTGCTGTGCAAGTGCAAGGACCCGAGTTCGTTCCCTGGTACCAAAAAAAAAAAGACACTCCTAAAAAAATGATGGCATTTCTGATAGTGACCTTATAATTTCTTATGCAAATCATGATATTTTTGAGAGCAAAACAAAGGAGCTCTTAATTATGCTGGGATGACCAGTCTGTCTAGAGCTGTGGCAGGCAAATCAGGAAGTCCTGTCACTGAGTGTGGAGCACTCTGCATGGCGGGCAGCAGAGAAAGCTCCAAAGAGGTGGGCATGCTCCCCACCCAGCTGCTCTGGTAGCTCGGCTCTAACTTTCTGCTGCTTCCTTCTCCATCTTACAGAAACCAGAAAAGATACATCCACGGCACTCTGCTTCCAAATGTTCTCACTCGTACACACGCAGCCTGGAGTGTGAGGCTTGGACAGGTCATTCAGTAAGCTGCTTATGTTACTCATGGAAAAGGGAGCCTTCCAGCCCATAAAGTGACACACCTGGGGTCACCTGGCTGGGCAGTGGCAGCAAGGGACAGAATCAAGATGAAGCAACCAAGTAATGACGTGCAAGCTAGCACTTGGGAAGGAATTTGGGGAAACAATTTTCTTTCAAACTGAATCCACTATAAGGGCTATTTTTAGTGCCGTTGACACCGATAAGCTTGTTAGACGCCTTAGAATAACAAGCACTACCATTGACTAGAGTGTATCAGGCTAAGCTCTTCACATGCATGATCTCATTTAATCCTGTGCACCTGAGAAGTGAATATTATTAACCCTCTTTCGCTTAAGGGGAAACAGAACTTCAGAAAGGTTTTGCAACCTCTCCAAGGTACTAAATAGCTCTGGAGCTGGGATTTGAATCCAGAGTTTTCAGCCTCAAAGTTCAGTTTCCTAACACTGTGTAACTTGGCTCACTTATATACACATCATGTGTGGTGCATTGAAAAGCAGCACAGATAATGTTTTATTTATTAAGCTAGCTGGTAGGCACATAAGTAGTCTTTATTCTCCTGGTGTGTCAAACATTCCAGAACACATTTTTTTAAAACCACACAAGGAAAACAAAGAGGGGAGAAATTTAATTCAGCATACCCAGGGGCTCAGGGGTTGTCCACCGCGGAAGGCTGTCATGTCCATGTCAGCATCCCCATGACCTAGCAGCTGACTCCAGTGTAGACAGTCAGAGTTGGTCTTGTCTTATTCTCTCCCTGCCATGGTGGTCAAGTCATTTACTATTCATAGCAGTTTGTTCCATCATTCCCTAAAGCATTTTTAACTGTCAAAGAGCACAATGTCCCTCCAGTACATAGATTTTTCTCAGGAGATAGCAATTTTATTATAAAGATCATTGATTTTTGGAGCCAGAGAAACCAATGTTTGAATCTCACAGTCTGTCATTGATAAGCTTTAAATTGTGATTCAAGTTCTCTGGGCCTCAGTGTTCCTCTCCTGTATAATGGGTATGATTCCCACTGCAGCTTCCTAGAGGGCTGATACAATAGACTCTCAAGTTACAACCGGCCTGACATACAGACAACTTGGGTTACAACCAGAATTTTATTTTTAACTTATGACCAAAGTCTTGAGTTATGACCCAAATTCCAGTGGCTTGTGCTTCCAGATGGTCTCACAGATGTAACCCTTAGAGAGTTCTGGAAGGAACACGACAACATCCTTCCTGTGTGGGGTTAGTTGAGAAATCCTGGGCCAGTGTCTCTCTAAGGACACTGAGAGCTGCCTGGATACAGGAGAGAGACTTTGAAGGCTGTGTAAGGAGCCTGAGCCTTCAATTGACCAACTTGAGTTACAACCAGCCCTCGGAAAGAATTGTGTTCGTAAGTCAAGGAAGGGTTCATTGTACTAAGTGAAGACTGAAGGAGAGAATGAGTGCAAAGCACCCGGGCACTGCTTGGCCCCTCACTTTGCATTTTGGCTCAGAAAGCATGGTCCTTCTACCTGCAGCCTCCTCAGAACCTCTCAGATGCTCCCTGAAAGGAAGCCCAGAAGGGGTCCACCCCCTATTTTCCCAGTCTCTGGTGTCCAGAAGGAAACCAATCATGACTGGGCCACCTGGGAGAAAATGCAATGAGCTTAAAAAGAGCTTTACTGAGGTATTATGTAATTTGTAAATTAAGGGCATCATTCAATGAATTTTAGTAAATTTAATATGTTCTAAGTTTAGAGTATTTCTATCACTCCAAAAAGATTCCTCATGATCTACTACAATTAACCTCCAAAGCCACTTTGAGAGTACCATGAATCTGTTTTCTGTTTTTATAGATTTGTCGTTTCTGGACACTTATGGAAATGGAATCATCCAATTTGTAGTCTTTGCATCTGGCTTTTTTTACTTCACATAATGCTTTCAAGATTCAGCCATATTAGAGCATTGATTGATTTCTTTATATTGCTGAGTAGTAGCTCATCATATGGACAGATCATATTTTGTTTATTCATCCCCCAGCTGAGGGATTTTTTCTTTTCCAGATCACAAAAACAAGAGTAGTGAGTGTTCTGAAAGCCACATAGTCTATACCATGGGTGGTCTATAGTAGACAGTATCCAAAATAGCTAGAATTGTGTTCTTTCCACATTTCCAAATGGTATTTGTCTGTGTCCCATAAGCCTGGTAAGCCAGCTCCACAGAGGAAGCCTGAAAATAAAATACAGAGCCCAGAAGAATGTTTCCCTCATGACATTTTCCAAAGCTTGGGCAAAGAAGCATCAGCTTGGATCTGATCCACTGACCTCACCTTGACTTTTAGAGAAGGAAAAAGCAGAACTGGAGAGAAGTGACTTGTCCAAGGAGACGTCTTCTGTTCTTATGGCCCCGTCACGTAACCTGAAGGCCATAATCCTGGCCATTAGAATGCATGTTGCCTGAATGCATATGTTCTTTGCTCTCTGGCTGATCTTTTTGTCCCCACTAGCTGGTACCAATCTGTACAGATGCTGTAGATAATGTCTTGCATGGTAGATAAACAAGGCAGGAGTTATTTTCTTCCAATATTTTTAAACAGAAACCTCAGGCCTGGCTTTCAAAGGCACAAGCTTTGGAACAATCTAATTCAAAGAAACCTGTGGCACAGGCTAGAGGGGATTTGGAGCTTAAGGGGTGCTACTGTAGACTGCAGACCACAGAACTCCTATCCAGTTTCCTTTAGTGTGTGAGGCTCACCCCACTGATGGGGACCATGGGCTGGCTGCACGCCTCCCCTCCTACTCCTGTGGCCCTCCATGTCCTGCTTACAGCATTTCCCACCCGGGAGGGGTGAGAGGGTGGGAGCAGAGCCTACGGTATGGGGTTCCTTGAGCAGCAGGACAGAAACAGCTCACTGAGTGCCACACTCAGGTGATAAGGGTAGAAGAGGTGGAAATGTTCCCTTGCTACTTTCATTCTCAAGGTCCAGCCAGAGAGACCGCCAGCTTTCTGGCTCAGAATGAAAGAGCAATGTCAGTACCTAGGTCCCTGGCCATGAGGCAGGGCTGATCTAGTTGGTAACTAATTTCACTTTAAAAGCACACACTCAGCCAGTGTGGTGGCGCAGAAAGGAAAGGAAAAGAAAGAAAAGACTCTAGAGTCTGCAGGAAGGATCTTTCTACCTCTGTTTCCCCAATCTGCTCGGCTGATAAACAGCCAGCCCTTTGTCTCCATATGCCTAAGTCCCCTATGTCCTGTCTCCTGTCTAGAATTCTCTCCTCTCCTTTTTCTGCCTGGTGAGTGCCTATTCATTCCGCAGAAGCCAGGGATACATCACTGCCTCTCCAAAGCCCCCGGCTACCCTAGGAGGTGCCAGTCTGCCTTTCTTTGGTCACCACTGGGTCAGAACTTCCCATGAGCTAGCTCTCTTACTGACTGGAATGAAGCCTTGTTTTGCACCTGTTCAGCAGCACTACAGGCCCCAGCACCTATCACTCTGCCGGGAACATAGTATATGCCCAGCAGATGTTTGCCGCACTCCATAGAATGTACCTCACCCTGACCGCTGCTCTCCACCGCAGAGGGATGGTTCAGGGCCAAGCAGCAAAAAGCCCAGATGTCCCCAAAATGGGCAGAGAAAAATGCCATCGCTCCTCCCAGAGGCAGACTGAGGGACAAGCAAAGTGGTTGTCCGGAAGTGTTGAGGGGCGTGGATCTTGAATATCACCCCAGGGCAGGAGAGGCTAAAGCCCTCAGGATTCTGGCAAAGCTCTGAGCAGAGATGGGCTCCTGCTGCAGAAGCACTGAGGGTCCTGGAGGCTGAGACCAGGAAGTGCCCAGACCTGCAGCACCTCCATGCAGCTCTGGCCCCAGGCCCTGCTGTCTGTGCCCTGGAACAAAGGCTCTCTGCGGCTTCCTGACAGGCAGGTCGGGGCCTGTGCTGCTACAACTGCAGGACAGGTGCATACAGCCTCTGGTTCCAGAGCCAACTTTAGTCTCTGGGAAAGGGTGGAGGTGTACCTGCGGGGTTTTCCAACTGCCAGTGTGCTTTTCATCACAAGAGGGGACTCGGGGCACTCAATTGGCTTCAAAAGAGAAACAAAAAGCATGAAGACTTCACCTTTCCTTCAAACACTAAGATGCTGTCCTAGTAGTTTGCAGGTAGCTAGAAATATAGGCAGTGGTGGGCAGGAGGAGAGAGCAGGACTTGAATCACAGAGGAGAGCGGTGTAGCCACTGCTGGCCTTGCGGGCCTCATATTCCCCTACGTTGGGCCTTTGGTGTCACGGTTTAGACCTAAAGTGTCCCCCACGTCTCAGGTGCTCAGAGGTGGGCTTTTGGAGGACGACAGGACCACGAGGGCTCTAGTGTCTCCAGCAGATCAACCCACCCATGGACAAGGTTGAAGGTCACCATTGGGAGGTAATGGAAGCTCAGGAGGTAGGGCCTGGTGAAGGGAGTGAGCCACACGGCCACCGCGGAGACTTTGTGTTGAGCCCTTTCATGCTGTCTGCTCGCTCTCCACTGCCTGGCTGCTGTGAGGTAGGCGGTGCTGCTCAACCATGCGTCTCCCTCCTCACAGGCCTAAAAGCAACGAAGCCAGCTGACTGAAACCACTGAAACCATGAGGCCAAATAAAGCTTTCCCCTCCTAAGCTGTCTTTGTCAGGTCTTTTGTCACAGCGATGCAAAGCTGACTAACGCAGTTGGCTCCCTCTCTGTGTGATGGGGATAATTCCGACACTGAGCTCAGAGGGTTGCTGGGGGTGGGGGGGTGAAATAAGATAGGAGGGGTCAGCGACCGACGCATGGCAGGCTCTCGATAAATGGTTCCTGTTCTGTAACTTGACAGGATTTCAAGAGAGTATTTCTAGTACTCTGAAGTGTGAATAAGGCCCAATTTGAAGATAACGAGTTTATGCGCACTCTTGCTCTTTTTAAGATCAAATTGGTGACAGAAGACGCGAACAGTCACCTTCCCGCAGAATACAGGCATTCAGAGTCGGTCTCACCAGCAGGTACCATCAATGTTCTCTACCTACCCTCAAAGAATCAATAAAAAAGATCGAAAGACAGAATGTCATTGCGGGGAGCAACACCTGGCGATTACAGAGGGAGGATATTTCCTCTCTCTCCAAGGAAGTTGAGGCTCCTGGATAACGACTGAAAATGAGCCTGCTGGCAAGGAAGTGCCTGGAATTTTAGTCCTGAGGTGTTGAGACTTGGCTCATCTGCCTCTGGGCCAGCTGAACTGGGGAGAAAGGACTGGGGAGAGACTGGAGGGTGGAAGCTGCTGCCAGGCGACAGGAAGCTTGTTCGCCCACTGCAAGTGGAAAACGGAGGCCACACATTCCTGTTGCTTCCATGCGAAATGTTGGAGGGGGCCAAGTGACAGAGGTGAAGAAGGTGACAACATCTACAAGGACCATCAATGGCCTGGGAGCCACACAAAAGTCCTCCGGCCCAGGGCGTGTGGGGTTCACAGCCTGGGACACAGGAAGTTCTGGCCACCCAAGAGGAAGACAGCAACTTCACCAGCAGCAGAACTCTGCTCCTCTGCTGGCTCAGGCAGAGGAAGCAGAAAAGGACAAAGTAAGGAAGTCAAGTCCCCATGTCCCATGCCTCATGCCCCTTCCACTTTTGACAGCCACTTCCATGGGAAAGAGCTTTGAGTAGTTTGTGATGGCAGTTTCAAAATGAACAAGATAGGGCTGGGAATGGAGCTCAGGGGTAGAGTGCTTAGCTAGCATATGCAAGGACCCAGATTCAATTCCCAGTGCTGGAAAAACAAAACAAGCTGAGTCATAAATAGGGACACAAAGTTATACTAATAACTGAAGGTGACTGAAGAGAGGTGGATTCTGGCCAAAATATCATTATGTGAGTCTCAACCCAGCAGGAAAGATGGAGACTCAACACAGCATGCTGAAATACCATAAAATGACTTCATAGTTATAACTCCACGGTCAATTCTTCAACACCCTACTACACGATGGTCTTCTATGCTCAGAGGTCCATGAGGTCACCTCAACATCATAAAGGGGCACAGACCTGAGTGTATTTTTGCACGGTGTACCTTCAAGGGCCACAGAGTTCTGAGTCTGATTTCCTTCCCCTGCACATGGCATGCCTTGAGTTTATCCATCTGCTTCCCTAGAAGCCACCATGAGCATAAACTCTGAAATCACACGGACCTGGGTTCAAACCCTGGCTCTGCCACTCTGGCCACATGCCTCAGGATGCCTCTCATTACACCTCTTTAAGTCAAAGTTCCTTCATCTGTAAACTGAGGTGTTAAAACTCCAGCTTCAGTTGGGAGAACTGGAGCCAATACAGATAAACCCAGATGAGCAGCATGGCCACTTGTTCATTTGACACATACTTATTGCAAAGATTCCCATGCCTTAGGGCACAGAGAGGATGGGGCAGATGAGGGAAGACACAAAGAAGAAGGCAGGACAATGGGTAGATGCTGAGTGGCTGGGGCCACCTCCAGGCCCGGGCTCCGATGAAGTAAGGCCTCCAGCCGGCATCCCCTCGAGCCTGTGCTGCTGAGCACAACTCTAACAAGTCCTTGCTAGTGCTCTGCTGGTGGGATACTGACCCGTCCCTGTGGTCCAGCCTCATCCAGATAGGCAGAGCAGGTCTCGCCACCTACTGGTTGACACAAGAACCCCCCACCAGGAGGAAATACTGTGTTCCTCTGAACGGGAATTTGCATCTCCCTACCACCCTCAAGCCCCACACCTCAGCAATGCATTCCACATGGATGAGGGTCCACACCCCAAGGCAGGGGAAGCTTCCAGGATCCTTCTGTGAGAGCCAGCTCCAGGGCTGACCACACTACGCCTGCTCTGGAGACATCTGGAAGCAGTGTGACCATGCCTGGCCAAAGACCCACATTACTGTTCCCCAAAGGAGAATTCCAACAGGACCGCTATAGACATGTCATTTCCAGAAGGCATTCATATTGGCCCTTTATGTTGCCCACCCACACAATGGAAGAAACCACACCCCAGAATGCAGCTAGGCGATCCAAGCTCTGCTCTCACCAAAGCCGCAGAGCCATCAAGGAACAGCCGCCCTCACCCTCGCATCAGGCGTGCACACTTACCTGTTCCGCTCCCTCGGCTCCCAGCCGCCCCACCCTGACTCCCGCAGTCCCTGCTACTGCTGCAGCACCCTTGCTAGGGAAAGGTGTACCATCTAGATGCTGGACTGACTGCTCCACTCGTTCTGGAAAAGCTGGAGGCAGGTGCAGCCTAATGAGTTTGGGAGGACGCCGGGCCTATGGCAGCTTCGGAGCTGGCAGCTGCTGGTGTTTACAAACAGGGAAGGCAGCGGAAGTTTCCAGGCTGAGGTGTTGCCTGGGGAGGCTGCAAATTCCGACCAGCCAGCTCCAGGCCAATACCTGATTTAACAGCAAAACACAACAGAAGCTAATGTGCTAATTAGCCCCCAAATTTGAGTTAATTAAAAACTAATCAGGGTGTAAGAATGTAGTATTGCATTAACAAACCTCATCCTTTTTAAAGAACAGAGCAAAGTTCTGCTTCTCTAACAACACAGATAAGGACTGAGCATTTTTCCCTGGGAGCCATACAGTTTATTATGTTCTGTGGTTGAGGGTTCTCTCTCCCACGGATAAAGCCTGACTTGATCATTAACTGAGCCACCAGACAGGTAAATCAAATCAGCACTGTTGAAGCAAGCCCTCCTCCAATAAGAGCAGCTCCCCATTCACCACCCCTCAATGTCTTACAGACAGGGCTGCATTCTTGGAGTGATACTCTGGGTTGGCAAAGCCTGGCATCCTCAAGTTCAGGCAAGCACTGAGCTGCCCGAGAGAAACAAAACCAGAAGAGCCCACCAGCATCCCCTGTTGTGACTGTAGCAAGGTCATCAGTAAGTAACAGGTAGGCACTGCTAATGACAAAGAAGCAACTGCATGACCAGCACTCTGACTCACCTTCTGCAGACAGCCCCTGGATGTTTATTCCCTTAGCTGCCAGGAAATTCAAGCAGGCATCTATATTTTCAATCTAGAGGGAAAAAAACAACAAAATACACTTAATAAATATTCAGCCTTCTACAGAACCATGTCTTGTTAGGAACCAAGGGCAGATAGAATGCTGTAAAAATGTCTGATGGCTGGATGGACACAGGTTAGGACTCTCCTTTGTCTGTACTCGCACAGGAAAAGGTTACCTAATACCCAAATCGCACAGTGCCAAAGTCAAGGCCTCGGATTGCTCACAGCTGCCAAAAATAACCCAGGGGGAGTGAGAGCTGTCTTCTTGATCGGTGGCACCGTGCGATCCTGAAACCTTGAGCAGTAGCCAGAAAAAATGGAGGTGGGGATGAAGTTAGTGGACCCACCCAGCTACCAGAAGCTGGGAGAAATTTCCAGCCACCAAAGAAGCCGTCAAATGTACAAGTGGTGAATAGGAGCTGCAAAAGGAATCTGGGTAGTGTTTACCCACAACATTCCCAGGACGGCAGGCATGGCAGATGACCAGAGAGGGAGGTGGCCTCCCCAACACCTCTGTCCTTTGTGCTCTCCAGGGCAAGAAGGAACCCACCAGCCAGAGTATGAGGGGCCTCCCAGACGTGCCAGGACTGGTCGCAGTAAAGACTCCACTCCTCTCCATGACCACCCCAGCCCACGAGATCTCTCAGGTGCCATCAACATTGTTGGACACTCAAACCAGCACTTAACCCATGGAGTTTGTTCTGAGCTGATAGATGACTGTCTTCCACAGTGCACATGTCCCCATCCTCCCTCGCTATCCCCAAGCAAACTCTTGATGCTTCTTCATAGCCAGAGGGTGTGAAGCATTACATTTTAAGAGCTCTAATGTGAGTGGAGTCTGGCTCCAAGTCTTGCTGAAGTTCATGTCCCCTCTCCCACTATGTCTGGCATGTTTCTTCAATACTCGAATCTGAACACATTCCAAATGCACTCAGTCTGGCTACACGACCCCTGAATAAAACTGCACCCATCTTATGAGAATCCACTCAATCCTGAGCTTAAGGTTATGCTAGCCTTGCTCCTGGAGACAGGCCTCCATCTTTCTCAACCTCTAGCCCACCTTGAAGTGTCCTCATCCAGCAAGTATTTTCTCATCTCTAGAAAAAGAAGCAGAATCCCATTTCTTGCAAACTAGGCAAATGGTAATGCTATGAATTATGCCTGCTATCACCACCACAGAAAATCACTCCCTAGAGAGGTGGAGAACTTAACCTGCTTTGAATCTCCCCTTTCTTTGGTCCAGCCCCTGGATGACTGACAGATGAGCAGGTGCTACCATCTTGAAGGAAAGGGAGAAGAGGGAAGAAAGGAAGTGAATGGTTGAAACCCTCTGTAAAGGGGTTTTGGAGCACTTTTCCATTTATAAGTGTAATAAAAGTTATAACTCTAAATGCTATTATGTTCTATTACAGAGCCCTGCTTCTAAGAGAAAGTGTCAACTAGCATTCCTTATTTCTGCTGCTGTACACAGTGGTAATATGCCAATACCCCACAAAATGGCACTGTTTTTTAAACATGATGAAATTTCTCTTCCATTCCTACTTTCTTCTGCTAATCATACTTCTTTAATAGCTTGTATATATCTGATAAGAGAGGCTTTGATGATTATGTCCCCATGGAAAATGAGAAGAAGAAAAAGCTGACCATCCCCCATCTTTAGTAATGCAAAAAACCATTTTTTTAACGTACACTTGGTACATACCCTAGAAGCTGACATGTAGGTGGGTCAGTGTGGACAGGGCAAGATTATCCACAAGAGTACACTGGGATGGAAGAGAAAGCCAGGCACCAACATATCCGAGAAAAGCCACTGCTCTACCATAGCACTCTCATCCTATGGAGCTTGCCTTCCACGGAGCCTAAAATATACTTGCCCATCATATTTATGGAGCATTGCACGTACACAGCAGTGCCTTCCTGCAAGGCTAGCCTCCATACATTTCAATTCAGCATCTTTTGGGCTTGCTTTTCATGTTAAATTCTATGAAAAGGATGTATAATTATAAATAGATTACCTGGCATATGTCTTCTTCCTCCTTTGTTGATTTATTTTTTAGAGTCCTTCATAGGATTTTATGATTTAGCTCAGCACTGCACCAATGGACAGGCAGAAGGGGTGGAAGAGGGGGAACAGCTTGGATATATTGTTGACACTTCAGACCGTCACACTGGGGCTGAGTGGGTGGTACTACTGGTGTTAAATGGGTAGGCACCAAAGGTGATCCTAAACATCCTACAAGGCATGGGACAGCCCTCCCCAGTGGAGAATCAACTGTCCTAAAATAGCACTGATGAAGTTGCAAACCCTCGAAACCTTGAGCTGCATGGTTGATTGATTGCTGTAGTGCTAAGTAGCAGGGGGACTGAACCCAGGCCCTTTGCACCAACCTACATCGCCAGACTTTTTTTCTTTTTGGAACAGGCCCTTCTATATAGCTGTTGCCAATGCTCGGCTCAAACTGCGATCCTCTTGCCTTGGCCTCCTATGTGCTGCCAAGTCTAGCTTCAAGCTCTGTGATTTTTTTGCTCATTCATTCTATCAACAAAACTGAGTAGATATCTTCTCTATGCCCAATCCTGTTGATGCTGTTGGTTTTACCAACTGCTGTTACATGATGGGGAAAGTAAGGTGACCAGGTCAGATTTTTGACCGAAATTACACAAATCAATGGCAGAGCTGCGGCTGCAACCCCGGGGGTCCTCCTGCCTGTCACAGGAGCCTGCATTTGTATAATCTTCCTCTTCAGGGTCCACAGAGCCATTGTCACACCCACGCTGATTTCTGTCCAATTTCAGGGAGAATCAGAGCAGTAAACACAGAGGCGCTAGGTTCCTGCTTTCCTACCATAGGTGATCAGGGGCCCAGGAGCACCAAGAATGGTATCTTCTACGGAGGAGATGAGAAACAAGGAACAGCGTCCCAGAAAATATTAAAACGAAAACAAGAACTTGGTCATCATTTAAAGGATCATTCCTAAGCCCACTAAGCACCCTGATTTTTTCCCCCTACGATGAACTCTGTTCACAGAAGGAGTCCAACAAACATTCCTCAAGTCTCAAATCCACTCTTTAATAATGTTTCATTAAGGTTAAAAATCACTCCTGACAAGGCAGCTGAGCCCCACGCTCTTTTCATCTGCACCCCAGGAAGACAACGAGGCTGGGAAGCAGAAAGGGGTCAGATGCGGATTCCAGCCTCCTGCTTCATTTGGAATGAGATCAGAAAGGGAGCCTGGTTCTTTGATCCAGGCCCTCTTGAGATTAAAATTCACCTTCAGATTTTCCTGCACGTACCGTATAGGTAAATAATCCATCTTCGTGCACTGTCGGAACTGCAAACTCCCGACCCTGCCTGGAGAGGGGATGGGTCTGGCAGCAGCACCAGAACCACCGCAGCACCAGGACACCCGCACGGCCTCTCCAAGAAGGCCTCATGTGCAATCCAGACACCCAGCGTGAGCTGAGCATTTGGTTATAAAGGAAAGCAAAGCAAGGATGGAAAAGACTCCTAACTAGAAAAGTATGTAAATACGAGCAAAGTTGTTCATTAACACATAGTGGCCAATATCAACTACTTTCCAAAATTAGCTGAAAAAAATCTGTGCAAAGTCTGACATTCCAGTGTTGCCAAAGAGGAGTGAGGACAGGGAGAGAGACTATTGTAGCTGTTGCCATGGAAATGGGCCTTGGAACTCTGGGATCAAGTTGTTGGCACTTACAGCATAGCTGGGGTGGGAAACCCAGCAGAGGGGCCCTGAGACCCTGGAAACAGACAGGTGCTGGGTGAAGGAGGGAGGCAGGGAAGAGCAACAGGTGAAGACCAGGATGCACTTCCCCAGGATCTCCTTTGTTTGAGGTCAAACGTGGCCTCAACGCCGTCTCAGCTGGGACCCCCATCCCAAGCTGAGCTGTTTCTTAGCGGTCTTTGGATTCCAGGTTTACAGGGCAACTTCCACAGGCTATGTCCGTTACAGCCTTTCTCTTCTATATCCAGAAGGACATTCCCATCCAGATAGCCAGAGAACACGAGGAATCTGACCAAATGCCAAGCAACTGGACAGAGAAACAGGATGGGAAACAAATGCTAAACTTCACATTTCAATCATGCTTAAGGCTGGAATGGGTCTCATGATAACATAAAATATGTGAGCCTCGGAAGTCCTGTTGTATATCTCCTTGGTAGCTTAGAGACTGATCAAATACCATCTGTTGTGGCAGTTGTCATGGCAGCATTTTTCTCTGAATGCCAGTGTAGCTGAGTGCAAACCACAGGAAAATGATTGATGCAAAGGAGGACCTTGTCTATGGGAGTCACAAAGCCCAGGCAGACAGTGCTGTGAACCTATGGAGCAAATGGAGGGCTGGTTTTTATGAGTCAGGAGTTTCTCACTATGTCCCTTGGAGAGAGCCACCCTGGGAGGAGGGGCACACAGCTGCTGCATTCAAGGCGAGGTGGTCACAGATATTTTCTTCAAAATCACGAAGTGCCTAAAGCCCAGGCAATAGGAGACTCAGATCCCAGGCAAGGCTAAGTGAGGACGTGAACATTCTGGTGACTCTGAAACCACAGTGCAGCTTCTCCATGCAACTCATACAGATCAGCCCAAATGATGTGCTTCCAGAAGGATGTGCAGCCATCACACCGGACTAATCCTTCTTGCTATCAGGAATATGCACCATCATCTATTTATTTATCTGTTTTTTCATCTCATTTGGTGAGCACCTTCAGAGGGTCAGGCTATGAGCCAGTGCTGGGCGTGTAGTGGTGAATAAAACAGATATAACCTCTGACCTTGTAGAACCTGTAAGTTGGATGTAGAGGAACAGGCATTAAATAAATAAGGCACAGATAAGTATGTGGTTACCACGACAGAGAAGAGGGAGGGGAAAGTCTATACTGGAAGACTTGATCTAGCAAAGGGGAAGGGGGACAGGCAAGAATTTCTTTGCATTATTATTATTTTTTTTGAGATGATGCCTTATGGCATTGCCCAGGCTGGCCTCAAACTC